AAAATTAAAATTCCGAGATAAAGATAGATTATCAATAATGAAATTGAAACATTAGCTAAAGAAGCTGAGAAATTAAAACTTGAAGGTGAAATTAAAAAATAAAAAATTGAAGCCAAGAACAGTCTCCATAAACATTTCATTAAATTAGAAATAAAATCAATGATGAAAAATTAAAAGATTAATTCTAAACTGATGAAAATTGAAAACTAGAATCATTGATAGAGGAAACAATTAAATAGATTAATGTTAATCCTAATGCTGAAACAAATCATTAAGAAGTCTTTCATCGAAATGCTTAAGGAGAAGCTATATGATAAGACTAACAATTGATTAAGTTGATTGATTTTTATCTGAAAGTGTAGTTTAACATTATAAGTCCAATATTAAATATTGCTCTATTAAAATTTAATTAAATTTTATTTGAGTAAAGAACATAGAGACCTAAATCAAATATATTTATAAGATAGTAAAATTTACTATATTTTTTTAAGAAATTAATTTAGGATGCAATAATCAAAATTGATGAAGAAAACAAAAACCGAGCTTAAGACTTTCCGTCTAAAAATATCCTATAACTATAAATTCAGCTTCCTGTTGATCTTTATCAACTCTTCAAGTTTGATAAATAATTTTTAATGAATCAATAACATATCAAATTCTAATTAAGGTATAAATCTTTTGGAGTCTAATACAAGGATATCAATCATGTTAACAATAAAATCCTCGATTGTACAGCACGATTAATTTATATTCCATAAATTTGGATTTAGTGCTTTAGTATTTTTCTAATTTCTCTTTTTTAATTAACACTCATTTACAATAGAACCATTATAAGGCCAAATTGATTTGATAATAAAATATACTCACATTGAGGCGAATACAATGCTTATTTCAACAACAGTAAGTAGGCTATTATTACTTAGAGTAAGTTTCCAGTATAAATTTAATCTCTTATTGTTATGAGTCAATCACAAGGATATGGTACAAAATATCCTTCTATATTAATTTTCATATTTTGTGAGCCCTTATTCTGGAAATAAGAAATCTTAAGTCTCTTAATAATGTAATTAAATTTAAGAATAGCTTGTAAGTTTAATTGCTTTAAATTAAAGAAATTTCGACAATTAATAATTGTTTATCTTTAATTCAAAACTTATAAAGTGTAGTTTCGAGATTAAAAATTACTGCATGAATCATAAAACCTCAATCGATATTGTAATTATGATTGTATGATTGATGAGTAACGAAATTTCTAATGTAAAACTAGCTTTATCTGGAATGTAACGTATCATTTGAATCAAATTTCATAAAAAAACATTAATGTTTCTATATTTTGTAAAAATGAATTTTCAAATGGTATTTATAATATTTCACCAAAACAATAAATTTAGGATATCTTAAATCTGAAATTGAATTATGATTTATTAAATAAATTTCAATTTGAATAAATAATAAATAGTGTTCTAACTTTTTTTTCATAATAAATATTAAATTATTTTATTTGGATTTTAAAATTATTGGACAATTGAGCATTATTTAAAATTTGATATTTTTTCTTTGTATCGAGAGCTTTCAACTTAAAGTTATTCCAATTATTCTCAATGACAATTTAGTCTCTAAACGCTTTCCTAGTAATGTCAATTTTGCATTTCCAAATAATAAGTATTTGAATTACCTTCTAATCTCCATTGCAAATAAACGAATACATTATTAATTTATAATTAAATTAAATAAAGGATTTTATTCTTAGTAATTATAATTAATATTTAAAATATTTAATTAATTAACTATCTTGTTTGACATAAATAAAAAATATTAGGTAATATAAAATAGATATTAATAAAGATAAATGAATTTCTAAATCACCTGGGTTAAATAATTGATCAATATAAAAATTAATTTATAGCTTACATTTTTTTATTAATTATTATTTTT